AGCAAACCAGACCGTTTCAGGATACAGCCACAGAACTCTCTAGAAAAGATAACAGCTTTAATGGTAGTTCATTCAAGAGGTACACTATGTGTTTTTTTTAATTTACTGTCTCCTATCTAAGTCAGAGAAAATCTTGTGATCCCTCTTTCATTCTTCAAAGTGAAAAACAACTAACCACAATGCACAAGAACACAAAATATCTGACTAGAAGTTACATTTCTCAAATAATGACATCACCATCATAAAGATTAAACCTAGAAGGCACTCTCTTCTTCCTGTCCCTCCCCTCTGCCTCCTGGGGATGAGAGGAGAGATAGCAAAGCTTGTTCATGTTTATGTAACACTCCTACCTTTAATTTGCTAGGCTGTTTAATTTGTCCTTTAGCACTATATAGGAGATACACACACACACACACACATATACAGTAATTCATTTAAACATTACAAGCAAACTGTAGATTTTATTTTTTTCAATTTTTTTAGATGAGAAAACTGAGACTTCGTAAAATTAAATTACTTGCCTAAGATCACACAACTGCTAGTGAATGGTAGAAATGGAATTTAATCATATACTTTTATGATTCCAAAAACCATGTTCTTACTATTCTATCATATTGTCTCCCCAGGGTTCTTTGAAGAAATAAACAGACAAGAAATCCAACTGGTTGCTATTCCAAAGAAAAGCAGAGAAGATTCACGGCCCTTAGAGTAAGTCTGGGACAAAAATCTTGAGGTATTTTCGGACTTAAAACACGGAAGTTTCAATCGTTAAGTTACAGCTTTTAAAATGTTGACCTACTAGAAGTGTCACAGGGAAACACAGCAGGGCTCAGGAGAAATACTATTTTGTCATTTTGTTTAGTATCTCAAACTACAATTATTATTTACAGAGCATTATTTAGTACTCAATGGCAACTAGCAACAACAACATTTAGTAAAAGCAGCAGTATCTACTTATTAACACATTTTTGTAAAATCTACATCTATATCTATAGATACATACTGGCAGACACAGATACATGAATCCCTGCGTGGTGCAAAGAGCTAACATTCTCGGCTGCTCACCGAAAGGTTAGAGGTTCAAGTCCACCCAGAAGTGCCACAGAAGAAAGGTCTACCAATCTACTTCCAAAAAATCGGCCACTGAAAACCTACAGAACACAATTCTACTCTGATATACATGGGGCACCATGAGTCAGAATCGACTTGACAATAACTAGATTGTGTGTGTGTATATACATACCTATAGATACATACATATATATGCACACATCTATATACATATATACAGATGCAAATGTATACTACATATTAGAATAGTCAATTGACTTCATGGGTGTGTTTATCAGCTTGCATACTTTCAGTCCCTGGGAAGCCTCCAAAACCCAGTGCCTAGTGACTTCCTATTGTCTACAGAATAAATTACCTCACACAGAACACAGTAAGACCCCACCTATAGCCCTCCGTGCCAGCCATATCACCCAGTTTTCTTACTCCTCAGCAGCCAAATAGAACAACTTACTACTCCCCAAACTATGACATGCTCTGAAATGTCTCCATGTCTTTGTATATGTTCTTCCCTTTGTCTGAAATGTCCAGAAATACCATGTATTTGGGGAGCTCCTACTTACATTTCAAGATCCATTACAAACTTTATTTCCTCTTAGAAGTCTTATCCAATCCTTCTCCCCTGCCTGCACCCTTCACCCCAATAATTTTGGGGGGTATATATCTCTATTATAATGTGTAATAGAGGCACACTTGCTGTCTCCCTAGCTATTCCCATAGATTTGAGCCATTTGAGGGCAGGAACCATACTGCCTTCAGTCTTACAGCCTATCAGAGTGCCAGGCACCTTAATTAGATGCTCAATAAATGAACGTTTGATGAAAAAATAAATGAATAAACGAATGAGTGGACAAGGGAACTAGTAGCCCTTAAAGCAAACTGATAGTGAACTCAATCTCGTTCACTTATTTATTAAGTCATTCAGCAAATACTTAATAACAGACACTGTGCTAGGCACAGGTTCACTTCTGTCTTCCCCATCTCTTGTGTCTGCCAGAGGCCAGTTAGTCAA